TTATGACTTGAATAATTTCAGTTTATGGTCATGTGACTCCATTGCCTGTGGCAGAGAGTGAGAAATGCATGGTAGAGCAAAGATACTTGCTTCATGGTCACCAGGAAGCAGAGAAAGAGAGGAAGAAGGTCGGGGGCAGGGTCCCAGTATCACCTGCAGGAAACTCCTTCTTAGGCATTCAGGGTTTCCACTAGGCCCCTCCTCTCCTCTTAGTATCATGGTCAGGCTTCTACAGGACATTTAAGATCCAAACCAGTCTCATCAGACACATTTCATTGAATGTATTTCAAAAAATGGCAATGCAGAAAACATCAGTCTTAGAACATGATTTATTACAGTGGACTTTGATTCCACCTTACTAGAGTTCAGATCCACTCAGGAAGATGAGCTATTCTGCAGTGTCCACCAGTATTCTCTACCAGTGTCCACCAGGGTTTACCACCTTAACCATTACCTTAAATGACAGTAACAATGATGCCAACACACTGAGTGCATCTGCCTCGGAGTGCATTCATAATAACCACGTGATATTTAAAACAAAGAATTCTTGTTACTTATTTATAATGAATGTTTTCATGCACACACTGTTTAAAATGCTCGTGTTATCACAGCTAGTGCCAAAACATAACCAGAAGATTATATGTCAAACAGAGTATCACAAGAGATAAGGTAATGAAGTTGGGTAATTCAAATATCTGTTAACATATTAATATAATGATTTAAATATGTGGGCTGTTGGTACACTAGAGTTTCTCCTCAGGTGAGACTTCAGGCCTATGAGCTGTATACCCTAGAGCCATGTTCATGATTATGAATACTGTGGAAATAATAGTTTTGACTTCACTGTAGTCTTTCCTAGCCTTCCTGATCTCCTGAATCACAGAGGACAAGTATCAATTATGGTGGAAACCAGAAACATGAGTTTTGGGGACATCAGGACCTCTTGACACATACACTTCTTTCTCTGTGTATTTGACCTACCTGGTTCCTGAGAGCATCCAAGTGTCCAGTTCCTACCCTGATGAATACTCTTACTTTAGAGCCATTTCACTAAGGTGGCCATCTACTTTTAAAAAATAATCTTCACCAATCCTAAATGACTTACACTGGAGAAGACCTTGAAGAAGCATAAAACTCAAAAAAGTGATGGTCTCTGCAACCATCAATGTAGTCAGCTGCTCTGCCTTGCAGATAAAACTGTAAATTGTTCTTCTGGGTAGGAAAGTTTTATAAACTATTTGCTTTAGAAGCTGTGGACCAAGGAAAGGGAAAGTGTCCACAGGGTGATGTGGGCTGAAGTAATAAGTTGTCATTGGTGTCCTGTTGCAGTTGTAGTCTTGTATCCTGAAAAGTGGTATGTGTTCTCAGGCTGGTACTGAAAAACCCACTTTTAAGACATGAAAACTTTGTGGAGCTGCTTATTGGGGTGGGGGTAAATTCCCTGTCCTGTCTTCCTGAAGACTCCACCAAAATGTTCCTCTCTCTACCAATTGCTACACTTTTGGTCAAAGTTTTAGTTTTGTGTAGGATAACAGCTTTTACATTTGATGGGCATATGAACCATGGAAACCGGAGAAGTAGAAAGTTGTTGAAAATAATTTATAGATTCTGATTTGATTAATTCAGATATGCAACCAGATTTGAGACAGGTAAATTGTTCCCTGCTTGCTCTCTAATTCTTTTCCTTATGGTCCACTGTACATTAACATTCCCAGAATGACACTGGAAACATAACCTTCAAGTACTTCAGAAAGTCCTGAACAAAAAACGTGACATTTGACCCTAGAATAAACATGCTACTCTCCCAGTAGTGACATTTCAAAGGAGAAATGCCTACATTTCCCCATTTTTGTATTCGTATAGAAGAAACCATCTAGTTGTGTGTATCTATACGTGAAAAGCAGTGAGAAACTTTGTTAAGTAAAGTTGAATATTATTCTTCCAGATATCTTCTGCTATGCATGGGGATAGTCATTCAATTTTTATAGTTCAAAAGATATTTGATTATTCATATCATATTAGGAGTTAATAAAATCCTCTATCTTTAGTGTTTAAAAAATACTGAGACACTGGAATGCATGATCCAAACATATTAACCTATTTAACTCTTCAGTTTCAAGAGAGAGGTAAAGGTATCTCCATGTTGTACTAGGTCTGAAGTTCTCAACCTGTCAGTCGAGACCCCCTTGGGGCTTCTACAGAGATTGCCTAAACCATCAGAAAACACAGATATTTGCATTAGAATTCATAACAGTAGCAAAATTACAGTTATGAAATAGCAATGAAAGAATTTTGTGGCTGGGGACTACCACAACGTAAGAAATTGTGTTAAAAGGTCACAGCCATAGGAAGGTTGAGAACCACTGAGCTAAGTAAACTGAGAGTCAGAAATACTAAGACTTACCCACCAGTCTCAGTCCTTATATATTGGATCTGCAATTTAAATCTAAGCTTGTTTTATTTTAAAACTTGGGCCAGAGAAGTTGCCAGTTTATCTTTCCCGTGCCCCTTCCATTTGTGAATATCAGTATAAAAAGGTAACAAAGATCACTTCAATTTCTCACCAGTTGTCAAAAACATAAGATGTTTTAAGATTTTGGTAAAAATAGGTGTGCCTCTTGTCTGATAGATTTTATACAATGTGACATTAGTTCTCTATTTTCTTTTAGTTTGGTTTGAGAAGATGAAGAAGCAGGGCTGTGCCAGTAGGGGAAGGTGCATGTCAGTTAGCTCCTGGATGGGACTGAGAATACCACTTGCCTCCTTCCTTGGCTTTCTTCTCCGTGTTTCCTTGAATGGGAGACACGAAAGGCCTAAGAGATAGAAAAAAGCAAAACAAAACAACTCCCCCTCCACAAAACAGCCCAGCAAATCATAAAACTGTCATTGGACAGTAAGACAAGTGCATGATGGGAGAAATTCTGTTGGCTACCTTGAGGGCAGTAGAAGTGGTCAGCACAATGAAAACGAGGCACACCTTCACTATTGTCACCATTTCTTAGCCAACATGGAGCGAGGACCTGGTGGTAGTGCAAAATCTGTTGTCAGAACACAGGAATGTCAGAATATGTATATGTATATATTCTCGTGTATATATTATATCACATCTACTACACCCATGACATGTATCCTTGGCATATGTCAGTATATCTTTTTGGTGATAATAGAACCTACTGCATTTCAGAATTAAACCAGGAAACTCTTTACATTTTTCCTACTAGGGGCTTAGCGTTGTAGACAGGTATGATTTTCCAGTTGAAAGATGTTTCCATGGTCTTCCTTCATAAGTCATCGAAATTCCAATGAAACTTTGAAAATGTATTTATTATTTTAGGAGGTGGGTCCTGCCAAAACGATGAATGTATGAAAGTCAGATGACAGCTTGTGGGAGTTGGTTTTCTAGGGAGCAAGGGGTGTTACTCACTGGGTCATCTCTCTGGCCTGCCAGTGAAACCTGTGGTGTGGTCTGTAATCAACCCTTCTAGGATAAGTACCATATCTTGATATATTATGGATTTTCTAATACTAAATGCAAGATAGTATATAGTTGGGCTTCCCTATCAACTGGTCAGTTTTAGGGCAATCTCATTAAGCTGCTGCTATGTCACATAATGTGCTGCCAGTCTGTTTGCAGAACCTCCCAGAACAAATAGCCTGTGTTAGCAGGACACAAAGACTTTTCCTGGCCCTTCAGTTCTGACTGGTACTTGTGATGTTTATTTGTGGGCATTGCATGCATGCATGTTTCAGTGGAGGCCAGAGATCAACCTTAGATGACTTTCCTCAGGCACCATCCACCTGTTTCATTTTTTAGCTCCTTTGGCCTGGCCATCACTGAATAGAACAGGCTGGTGGAGTAAGGATCTCCAGGTTCCTACCTGTCTCACCTGCACAACACTGGGATTACAAGTGCTTGTCACCACAGCTAGTTTGTTCCTTTTCCTTTATCATCTGGGCTCTGGTGGTCAAACTCCAGTCCTTGTGCTTTCACAAGTTTTTTTACCCCTAAGCCTAAATCTGAATTTTTAAATTGCCTGAATAAATATTGGTTAGTGATGGGTAGAAACTTACCTGTGACTACAGTGGTGGAATATAATAGATTTGCCTAGTACCCTTGAGCTGGATTTAATGTTCAGATTGACCTTGAACATGAGAGGCAGAAGCAGAATTAAGACCATCGGGGAAGTACAACTTTGGGAAACCAAATATAACTTGAGAACTGTGGCTGCACTAGTTTGTCTGTTGTGGGGGCGACTCACCAGTCAGCAACAGACTGCTTCATTCTCCTAGTTGTTTGTCACCCACCACCAGTTCGCCACAGGGACCTAAAGTAGGACCTGCTGGGTAGCACTCCCAATGTATTTAGAATTCCATGTGCACTGGGGCTGAAGAACAATGCACAAGATTTGTCAAGGGTCTAGATGGTGGCTGGCCCAGCGGTGGGTCAGTGGACAGTAGGGCCCTCTGCAGGAGGCTAATAAACAAGAGCTCCTTACTTAGCCGATCAAATGCCTCTGAGTAGTGGTAGTCAATGGTCTTCTGTTTCTTATATGGCTAGTCTGTAGAAGATGACATCATTATTTCCAACTATGAATGGAATTAGGAAAACATATTTACGTTGGAGTTGAAGACTTGGAAGGGGCATAAAGAACTCAGTTTGGGGGTGGGAAGACTTTTCAACTGCAAGCGTTGTTCTTGACAAAGGAGGAGGAGGATGGATACTGTTGCCAGTTAGAGGGAGGAACAGCCTAGGCAGAGATTAGCAAGCCCACTAGAGCCCATTGCTTGCTGTTATGTCTCATTGTGCTAGGCATTTCAGGTAGTGAAAACACTCTCCCTTTCCCTTTGCATCTTTATGGATAGTACACTGTGACTAGCTTGTTGCTAATGTTTCTGTAATGCTGAGGTTAAACTGCAAGCTGCACCTGCAAACATGCTCTGCTCCTTCCTACAAGCACAACAATATTGTCAGTTCCAACTTTCCTTTTCTTTTTCTTCAGAAAATTGCCTGCGTGCCCTCCTTGTTTGCTCTACAATGAGTGCCAAATCTGCCATCAGCAAGGAAATTTTTGCACCTCTTGATGAAAGAATGCTGGGAGCTGTCCAAGTCAAGAGGAGGACAAAGAAAAAGATTCCTTTCTTGGCAACTGGGGGTCAAGGAGAATATTTAACTTACATCTGCCTATCAGGTAACGAAAACCGAATAGTAATAGCAAAGCGACTTTTGTTGTAAGACGCGTAATTCCATGGCATCGGGAGGGTTGTGTTCATCTGGTAATGTCTGCCTTCCACTCCTGTCTCTCTTGTCCTCTCGCACTTCTTTCCTCTTGCCTTCTCCTCTGTGGCTGAGGTTCTTTGTTCTGGAAAGATCGTGAAGTTCAGTCTTCCAATCCCTGAAGAGCTTCTGCAGAGTTTGGCAAGCATGTTCCTATTCATTCTTTCCTTCAGAGGGAGTGGTCTGTCCCTGGGGAGTTTTGTTTTAGAACCTTTCTTGGTATTTGGATAATTGTCACTACTAGCAGACGGGGCTTCACTTTTTGTTTTCTAGACCATTGCCAACAATTAGCCACAGTTTTCTTTGAGACAAATATTGGCACTTTATGGAATAGGAAAAAAGAAGATTTCGTTCACAAATCGTTGCTTTGCCTGACATCCACTGCCAAGTGAAAAATAACCGTCTGTTTTTATAAGCTGAGAATTTTGTTGGATTATTATTTTTTCTTTCTGTTTGTGATTAGAGGAGATCTGTGGGATTTACTGTGGATACACACCAAGTTTTTTTTTTGAGATAAGTTGAGATACATTTTCCATGAGCTTCTGAATGATGCTAAGCTAAGCACTAAGGCATTTGTAATATTTCTCATGATATTTCTCATAATAGGACTGGATAAACTAAGCTTACAATTAATCCTTTGCAAGATCTTTTGGAGTTGTGGTTTGGGAATAAAACTTTAATTTTAAAACTTGTTTTGACTTTGAAACAAAACTAAGCTTCTAATAAGTTGTTTAATGGTAGTGGTGATAAGAGGGCATCGGATCTTTATAATTCAAGGTATAAGTGACTTTTCATCAGACAGATATGAATTTATAAGACATAGATTAGAATGAAAAGAGAGCATAGCACTTTGATAAGCATGCCTTTACAATTGTTAGATGAAAACTTTTATTTATTCAGAGGGCGAGGGACTCAACCTGGAAACACTATTCTCTCCTTCCTAAATAAGGACTAGGTTGCCCAAATTTAGATATGGTTAGAAAATATTTGTGTTTCTTTAGTATAGTTAAGCACTGTCAAAATGAGAGCTAATTTAAGAACCAGTAACTTACATTTTCAAAACAATAAAAAAATAAGAAGCTGGGCATGGTAGTGCACACTAATTTAATCCCAGCACTTGGGAGGTAGAGGCAGGAGCATCTCTGTGAGTTCAAGGCCAGTCTGGTCTATAAAGAGATTTCTGGGATAGCCAAAGCTACACAGAGAAACCCTATCTCAGAGAAAAAGGAAAAAAATCCTTTCTTTTCTTTGTTTTGAATGTGTGTGTATGTGTGTGTGTGTGTGTGTGTGGTGTGGTGGCAGGGGTGGGGGGTAAGGGCGCTGGGTTTTTTTTTCTCTGCGTGTATGTCTGTATGACATGTGTGTGCAATGGTCGGTTGATGAGAGGGGGTCATGTCTTCTGGAACTGGGGAGCCACTGTGTGGGTGGTGAAATTGAGTTTGAGGCACCAGGAAGAGAGACAGTGTTCTTCATCATGGGGCCACCTCTTCAGCCCAAAAGGAACTTCTTCAACATCAGCCTAGGATTTTGTTTATAAGATCAAGGTGTTAAAAATAATTTGATATTTTAAAATTTGGACCCTAGAGGTTTTTCTGTTTTCTAATACCAACAATGAACAAAGTACACACTAATAATCTTCTTTTGTGTTTGGCTGAGCACAGACACATAATATTCTAACTTTTTTAAAGCTTGATTCTCTTCACCGTTCTGAGATTTCTTACAGACCCATAACTGAATGAAAACTTCATGGTCCAGAAGGCAGTTGGATTTTGCCTGGTATATATAAGTATAACTGAAGGACAACAATTTTCCTTGGCTTTTAGACTTATATTTTTATCTCTGAGAGTGGTAATGGGGTTCTAACAATCTCATCTCAGGGAAGCCTTATAACCATCATTCATACGGTTGGAGATAATGTCCTGGGACTTTCAGCTGCATTTCTGTTACAATTACCAAGTCCTTCAGGTTGGAAGTATAAAATGACAAGAGTTTTTTTTTCCTTGCATTCTAATAGAGGAAGATGCCTTGTTCTGAGAGTCTTTATCCTTACCATTTTTTTAAATTGTGAGAGGCTACATAAAGTAGATATGACATTTTGGCAGACAATAGAATGGAAACCAAGGTGGAAAAGGGTCAGGTGGCTTTGACACACACATTGTTGCGTTATATGATTTTCTTATAAATGGCAAAGTAATAGCCTCCTTAATTTTCTGATTTATGCACCACTTGGAGGCATATCAGTTCTGATAAATATGTTTTAACTAACAAGTTAATAATTTTTGTCTTTTATGGGCCGAGTGTCCTAGGTGCTGAGGATACAATTGTAAGAAAAAAGATTATTCAGGTTAGATGGTCTACTGTCAACATTAATTGTTTTAAAAATCCACGTAATGTTAAACTATGAAGAAGGCAAAAAGGGAAAATACAAATATGCATGTCTGGGAAAATTAGTCCTGTTTAGTAGACAGGACTTACATGTGTTGAACTGGGTTTTGGTGGGCAGCGTTCAGCCAGAGCAATGGTAGTCTTGTTAGTAGGGAAAGCAGTCTTTGGCTTCTCTCATTTCCTCTGGACTACTTTGTAATTGACCACTAGTAGGAGGTTTTACAGTAACCCCCCCTTGAGCCCCACCCCCACACCTGCTAGTAGTATAAATTACTATGCTTTTTGGGAAGCCAGTCCCTTCACTCATTGTAGCATAGTGATGAAAAACAGCTATTCATTTATAGCTAGCATATTTTGCATAAATTAAGGCAAAAGTCTACAAATAATTTTAACCATCCTTTCAATACTATGAAGCATGAAATGGAGGCAAGAAAGAAGCTTATAAAATATGCATCTAGGTGCTGATATAGTAGCATAATATCTTAGCTAGTGTTTATTTTTCACAGTGTCATGCATAGTTTATAATCTGAGAACCAGAGTTTTTGGCCATAAAGAAGGTGTGTGTGTGTGTGTGTGTGTGTGTGTGTGTGTGTATGAACTTCCTAGGGTTATTTATCTATTATTTTGGAAGGAGAAAGATACTCAAACTCATTCACAGTGAGATTGATTTTATCAGCTTCTCAATGGCCACCCAGGTCTAATTTTCAGAGCTGGGTATTGTGGCCCATACTTTTAATCTGAGCACATGGGAGGCAGAGGCAGGTGGATCTCTGAATTCAAGGCAGGCCCACTCTACAAAATGAGTTCAGGTCAGCCAGGACTACCCAGAGAAACCGTGTCTCAAAAAATAAACAAATAAAGGAAATGTGTTCATATGGAAGTCTTACAAAGTGAGGCAACCACAGTACTATAAATAGTCATGTACTTAAAAATCTCTCACAAAAAAATGCACCCTGTTTCAGAAAAACAATGACATGTTTCTGCTCATGACAACCCAATATCACGTTGTTCAGCTTTACTGAATTATGAGCTCTATGAACCAAGAACTTCATCTTTAATTACACGTAATGCTTTACACAGGATACTTACTATTAAACTAAAAAGAATAGTACAGGGTGAGTTGAAGAGCAAACTTATATCAACATGCATTTTCTCAGCATGCAAGATGCTTTTCATCCAGCAAATTGGGAAGAATTTTCTCACTACCAACTCCCACAATATTTAAAAATTTAATTTATTTTCATTTAATTTTTTTTACAGTCCAGCTATGTTACCCATGACTGGCCTCAAACTCTGACATTAAAGTGATTCTTTTGACTCAGTTTCCCCCAAACTGGATCTATGGGCCCTGACTCTGTGCTGAGGTTAATGTATAATTCTTGCTTTGTTGCTTACCTGTCAAGCTGTCCAAGTCTCTCTCAGTGAATCAGTTTATACTATTTTTTCTTACTGATTTTTCAAATTAAATTTCAATATAGCCACAAACATACTTCCCCCAGAACACAACTGTGTACACATCATTAACTAGAGTTCAATATTTGTTTACAGGTTTTGTTTTTGTAACATCTCTCTAGGTAAAGTCTAGAATGGTATACTCTTGTGGAGTTTTCTTTGTCCTGGCTGTTTCTGTTTCACTTCAGCCTCAAATGAGCATACAGACACTATATTAATTATAAAACTGTTGACCGGTGGCTTGGGCTTCTTATTGGCTACCTCTGTCTTAATTACTAACTCATTTCTATTACTCTGTGTATTTGCACATAGTCTTGGCTTACCAGAGAATGCCTGGTACATTCTCTCTTCCTGGTCTCATATGGCATCTCATTTTGCTTACCTTTCCCAGAATTCTCCTCATCTCCTAGCCTCACCTATCTTCCTACCTTATTGGCCAACAGTGTTTTATTCATCAACCAATAAGAGAAACATATATACAGAAGGACATCCCCCATCATCTCCTCTTTTCTGCCTAAATAAAAAGAAAGTTTTTAACTTTAACACTGTAAAATCATAGTTATTAAGCAAGAACTACAGTTAACAATATTTAGTCCATTAACATTTAGCAAAATTTATAGAAAATATCCTATCATCTATCCTATCTTTGTGAGTCTACAGTTTTATATTTAACCTATCTTTTATCATAACTAAGGAAAACCATAACTATAAGTATCTGTCTTCAACTCCATCAAAGACCACAGAAGGATAATATATATATATATAAGCTCTAGAATTAACAGAGACATTTTGCTGCCTGGATAGTCATTGAGAGTTCTTCTGTAATGTTGGAGCATCCATTTTCAGCCCATAGACCATAGTGTGTCTGGCAGGCTTCTCAGCAAAGCAGGAAATATGAAACTGTCCCACCTGTATTGGCAGTTTGTCTGTCATTTTGCTCTATGTTCTACAGAATGTCTGGCAGATTCTTCCATGAACCAGGAACCTTGCAGAACTGTCCCATTTTGTTTTGCAAGTTCAGCAGTCACTTTTCTGTGGATCCTGCATGTCCAGATTATACAGAAACAGTGAAACAGT